GTCAAATCCGTGTCTCTCCAGTTTAGAGACATGGATGTCTTGTAGGACAGTGCCAAAAGCCTTGCACATAACAGTTTAATAACCGAAATATAATACTAGTAATAATAATAATGAAAAGGACTATAACAAAAAGAGAGAGGAATAAACCCCCAGACAAGACGAGCGATGCAAGGTGCAGCTGCTCCCCACCCGCTGACTGGTGCCGCGCAGCGACCCGCCGCTCCCGGCCAGCTCCCCCCGGTTTCTTGGCTGAGCCTGACCCTCCCTGGTACGGAATATCCCTTCGGCGGGGTTGGCTTGGCTGTCCCGGCCCTGCTCCCTCCCAGCTTCTGGCGCAGCTGCTTCCTGGCAGAGCCTGGGATGCTGAGAAGTCCTTGACTTGGTGACAACATGAGCCACACGTGGCTGCCAGACTTGTCAATCGATAGCAATAAACCAGCATTTGCTATGAAATGAAATCACCGGAGAAGCCGTTCAGAAAAACGGGAAGGTATTATTGGCTTTTTATCCAAATAACAATCCACAGATGCAGAAAGTTACTCAATTTCGGCCTTGGCACTTCACAGTGAAACGCGGTGCAGCATTACATACCATAAATTAACCATAAAATAGATCATTTGAAACACATCACTATAGTAGACTTTGAGAACTGTCAGTATTTCAGCTTCCTTATAGGACAGGCAGTTACCTCTTCTTTAACATTACAGGCATGCTCTTCAGCAATGGCATAACAGTTTTTACACACTGAGAGGAAGAAAGAAACTTGACTTCTGTCTTCTTCGTAAGTCATGAAGACTCACTTCGACAGAGTAAGATCCCTCTCTGGTAACACAGTTACTGTCCTAGTACGTAGTACAGCTGGTGAATGTTTATTGTTTTCTCTTCAGCATCGTTCATGCTAAAATCATTCTTTAGTAGCATGTTGGAAAATCCAAGCACTGCTAGACACGTAAGAGTTAATGACCAATGAAAGAAAACTAATAGCACTTAACAGCTGATGGCTTTTATGAGCAGACTGTCCCACCTTCATCTTCAAATGATCCTTTTGCACTTAAATTTGTGCTGTGACTCTGATGCAGAGCTCACTGTAGGAACTTTAGGCCTCACGTTGCTAACTTATCACTGTAACAGATGCAGGAACCTCAGAAAGCAACACACAACCAATAACCAAAACCATAACAAGTGCTGAAAAGGAAGTAACGCCGCAGGTGCTAGGGTTCTGATGGAGAGCAGACGTCATGGAACACACGTACTCATCCACAATAACTCCAGTAAGATGCTACTACCTCTTTGCCTGCATCCTGCTTCTCAGCCCCACCTCTCCAACACCTTAGAACAGCTCCTGTGAACATCAGTAAATTAAACTGACTGCTAATGCAGGAGTGACTGGTAACTCAGTGCCTAGAGAAACGTGGCGTACGCGTGAGGCAAGGTACAAGGGGCAGACCTGCTCGTGACATCCCAACTCAACTACATTCTAAGCGGCCAAGCAGTCAGTCCTGGCACCACAGGGTACAGGTTTGAACTTGACGGAAACTCCCACAGCTGGTCTGACGTGCCCGAATGCCAATATCCCTCTTCCTGATTTTAGGATTTGTAACAATTAAAAACCAGATACACCTGCTTCCCTTAAGATGAGGGCAGATTTTATGTATCTGTAGTGTCTGTATTAGACATCACAAGCCAGAGGTCCAGGGAAATAATTGTTAAAAAGTGTTAACAAAGTGCCAGCAGCTTTGTTTCTTCTTCCTTACAAGCTACTGCCACTGCACGTCACTGAACCAATTCTCATACAGTTGTTGGGGGCTACGAGTGGAAAAAACTCATTATTCTTTGAGTTCAGCTGTTAAGAATATAGGATTATGTTGTATTTCCATCTGCAATAAAGCAGAGAAGGTTCTCTTCCTGTATTCCTCCCAGCCAAGAATGGTTTGTACATATTCGTATCAGCAGCTAAATTTCACCTTGAAACCTGAATTCTAAAGGAGTTCACAAAGCTTAGAAAACCAAACAGGAGAATGAAGCCATCTTCTGACTGCTGTTAAAAACTTACTTACCATAATTACTGATCCAAAAGCAAAAATTGACAATTACTCAAGTTACTTCCTCAGGTTGACCAGGACGGAATTGCTTGCTCAAAGTCTCTCACTAGAAGTTTCCAACACTTTGAGCGTTTAATCCCTAGACCTTCGCTCTGCAGTCGAGAATAAAGAAAGTATAAAATAACAATCTTCATCTTTCTTTATACTTCTACAGCGTTTCCTAACGCACACTCAGCAAGCTATCAGAGAAGGTGCAATAAAAACCAAAAGCAACTTTTATTTTGGCTTATGCCACATTGCACCATAATGCCACCACAGTTCCAGGGGAACCCAACCCTTTAGTGGTTTTGGCCACTGAAAAATTGCTTGACACATCTTCTTCGCAAGGGGATGATAGAATTTTCTTTTTTTTAAATCATATCTGATGAAAATCAATACATTAACTTTAAAATGTTGATGTATGAGAAAACTGTTGACTACAGAGGGTGCCCCTTTTTTGGAACTATTCTTAAAAACATAATGAAGGCAACATGGCACAGGAGAGCTGCCACTGCTAACGTGGCATCACCGGCAGTGATGACCAGCTGCTCTATGAAAACGTCTTTGCTCTGAAGGGAGTGACAGGCAGTGAACGCACCCTCTCCCTTAACCATCAGTGTTGCAAAATCTACCACGAACAGAAGGGAAGTCAAGTTTTTCTCTGCCTGGCAGATACGTGTAATAGATTCCCAGAACAGGTTACCAGCTTGTAGGATGGGATTTTTTCCCAATAATGAATACAAAAAAAACTGTATCCAATTACATAATTTCATTCTAAAAGAAAGGCTAATTGGACACTTACAGCTTTCTTCACTTCTGTTTTCATACACAAGCAGGAACTCTGTCACTTGCAATTCCTCTGTATGATTCTTTTCTTGAAAACAGGACTGGAATTTGACCAGAAATGGAATAAACTGGTAATTTCAAAACAGCATGAAATTCTGTTAAGATGGTCTTTCTGCTGTGGTGATACTGTTATCAAGGGGGGCTGTTAAGTGAAGGAAGGTATAGGCTGAAATACACAACACGTGATTTATTGAGAAAGTTTATTTTATTGGTTTACAGATCACATCTACCTCTTTATTAAAAAAGCTTTTTATCAGCTTAAAAAATTACAAGAGCCAAAGTATAATACACACATTTGGAAACTTCACAACTGATCCCTAAGTACCAGCCTCTTATTCCCCTCTCCTATTTGAACACTTCCTTCTTTCTCATTGCATTTTAGCAGATAAAGTGCAAATAAAATACTACATGCCTGCTACACTGAGAGATCCTGGTTTTTCAACAACATTAATGCAAGGCTTTTCCATGCTCCAGCAAAGCAAGGATTCAGTGAGACTTTCAGTGGGTTTTACCAAGAGATTTTACACGGGTTTTTGAGGGTGAAAAAGAGAGATACTATTGAAATAAAATTCTAGATTACTGTTTTGCTAATGTATTTGATGAAAAATTTACTTTCTTTCAGTCCTTCTTTCCAGGTACTTTGGTACTGAGCTACCTATAGTATTATGACCAAGAAGTGCACTTCCTTATAAAAGTTTATTACCAACAGAATAATGGTACAGTTCAAGTATTTCCCATTCAAGTTAGCACTGAGTTGTTACTGATTGAGAGAATTTTACTCACCTTTTAATACCCTGTTTGCACATAACAGATGTCTAGAACTTGCAATGACTCAATCATGGCCCATCAGGTTTGAATACATGGCAATGTAAGTGAGACAACTGATAATCCAGATCATTTTGCCCTGTACTGTACTGAGTAAATTCATTTTACAAGGACATTCTCATTTAAATATAGACACTGCAAAATATTAAAGCTCTTTGTAGGTGAGGAACACTTGTTCTTAGTTTTCATAATATTTAATTAAAGCTTACTGTTTTGCTGGAATTGAGACACCAAGGAAAGAACCTGCTCTGAGGCCTTAATTTGTTTAGTCCCCAGGTACACTGCGCTATTACTGGCTGTATCCTCCAAGAAGTAGCGGTAGTTCACCATCATGCCACAAGAAGCAGCGATGCCCCGAGGGCTTGTGTCCGCCATCCAGTTTATCCGCCACAGCACGGAGCCATTCTGAAGATGAAAATTTGCCACTGGATTAAGAGCATAACCACGGTGCTTCTCTCCATACAAGTACCAGGCACAGAGTCTCATAAACGGAGAATGAAGCACTTTAACTAATTTTTCTGACCTCACCCACTCATTGTTATTTAAGAGTTTCTTTAGTGTTTCAGTAGTAGAGTCTCCTGTGATCTCGGAGATTTCTCGCCATTCTGATTCTGTAAAAAGTTCATTTCTTTCCAGTTCTTTTGTTTGTGAGGAGAGGACACCAACAAGCCATTTTGTGAATCCCGGGATAGGTGAAAGAGTAGAAAAAGCAGTTATCTGAGGAAGCTCTTTCTGCAGACAAAAGGACAGGAAAAAAAAATTCATGAGTTTTGTCATGATTGACAATGAGTTTGAGTGAAAGAACAGCTGATACCCTTTACCTGATGTCAAGCAAAGACCAGGGATTCGCAGAATTCACTGATACACATAGACACAAAAAAAAAAAAAACCAAACACCACCCTGCCAGCAATGGGTTAGTGACTAGAAAGCACTTGGAGCATGAAGAAAATTGCAACACTGACTGAATTAGAATCCACACACACAATCTATGTAACAGTACTCACACAGCACTTACCAACACAACGTTCTGCTAACACCGTACAGGCAGAAATACACAAATACAATCGCATGCCATAAGGAAGTTATTCTGAGGATTAATTTTTTTTTTAAAATAAACACAAAAGTTTTCAAAACCCTTTAAATACCATTTATTTTTCATATGTAACCATCCTTTTTTTCAATCAAGTCTATTGTAAAACCAGGAGAGGTACGATTGCTAGATTTTAATGGAAAGAAGCGTTTGCTGAAGTTTTGAAAGAGGTTCTTTATACAGCTCAGCTACTTCTCATGCTATTCCCAAACTAGAAACTACATTGATAAAATAGCATGATAAGAAATACTTACTTGCAGGGAAAAAAAAAGTAATCACAGAGTTTAATACCTGTTTTAACAAAATAAAATAACTTCTTTACTCCTACTAATCTATGAATAAAACTGTCAACTATGTAATCACTCAAAGCAAAACATACATAAGGAAAACCGTGTGTTAGTTTTGAGGCACACCAACGTGAAGAATGGAGAAGGTTGTTAAACTCACTGTCACTTGGAATTAACAAAATTACATCAGCCAACCCTGCTGAAGGAGTAGGGGGGCAAGGAACAGAGGGAAGACCGAGCTGAACTGAAACAACCACAGCGTTGCTTTAATTACTGTTCATACAGGAAGAAGCAGTAAGAACCAAGACATTTATCAACATTACAGAAGCATCTTAATGTCCACAGAAAATTGTCTTTAAACGACTACAAAATGCATTCTTCCTACTTTGAGTATCACTGAGACAACCATTAAAAAGTCATCACCGCTCAGATGCCACCTTCAGTAGTGACTGTGAGGGGAAGGCGTGCTGCTGGGCTGGCTGAGCGGCACCTGCGCTCTCGCATCCCCGGGTACCGCCGCGCTCTGCGCGGTGCTGCCACTTGCATTCTGTTCCGTGAGGACGCAGAAGCCTGGCAGACCTCCCTGCCGGCCTGGAGCCAAGCACCATTTCTAATAACTTCCATAACTGCAATAATATTCAGCTGGTTATTTACAACATTTTTTCCTTCCAACACGGAGCTTCCCAAATAGCTTCCCGCTGTTCTGCTGGATTCCGGCACAATACACCAGCCAGCTCAAATCTACCTCCCCTTCAGTTTCGTGACACTGCACAAACTGGATAACCTCACTTGCTCCCTTATCTGAAGTTCTTCAACTATTGCACAGATACATAAGCCAAAGAATTCTTCTTTTGGGCCAGGCAGGAACAAGAAAGGCAGACCAAGTTACAAAGAAAGACCCCGTTTCATTTCCTTAGAGAATTGGATAAAGAAAAAGGTAAATTATTTTAGAAAACTACTCATTTTGGTATCTTATTGAGCAAAACAACCATTTTTGTAATCAGAGCACCAGGGAGACCTTGACTGTGTTGTACTCTCCACTGCTACAGCCAGCACGGTCAGACAGCGCAACGGTCAGACAGCGCAACACTAGTAAAGGGTTGATCTCCTGTGACTTTTCCAAGTCTCCACTAAAGGACACGATGATATTTTATTTTTACGAGTAATTCTGAAGCGTGTCTGAAACAAGATCTGTGAAATACAACTATTAGGTTTCTTCGCACATCCATTTCATAAAAGAAAAAAATATTCTTTGTAAATCTATGGAAAGACATGTCTGTGGAAGGCAATTTCTGCTGATACCTTAGCACCACTTTGTATAATTTTAGAGGATACAGCATTTATAAACCAAAACAGTCTGTTAGGGTTGTGCTCTTATTGTGGACCTCAGCTACAAAAGGCACGGCTATACAAAATGTGTTTTAATTTAAAGAATGCTTCTTGGAGTAGACAGTTCAGCCTTTTTAGAAAAGTTTCCCCTCTGTTTTTGAAAAAGAGCGTAATGACCACAGTAAATTTAAAAAAAAAAAAAAAAAAATCTGGGGGCAGAAAAAGTGCAAAAATGAGAACAGAACAAAGCAACTCTCTAGACTTCAAAAACCTTTCCCTTCCCCACGCTAAATACTTCCCCACAGATATAAAGATTATTTATCCACAAATCAGTTCAAAATAACTTTATAAAATCTGAATACAGAAACAAACGCACTCACTACATCTTCCTTTGGTCACCTTTCATCCACCTCCTTGCAATGTTGCTCAATCAAGGAGTATACCTAATCATCACATCTGGAATCCACTTCTCTTTAAGGCAGTGGGACCTTAACCAGTATGGAAGAGCAGAGTTATGCTCAGACACCCCTTGTCAGCTACATTTCCCTTGATTCAACACCAGCTCCCACCAAAGACAACACTATTAGCACCAAACCACGGATCTCTTGGAGAAGGAGGAGGGAGAAAAATGCCACAGAAGTGAATTTTTAAAGGCCACTGGAAAAATACTTCAAGGCATTTGATCCTGGAGAAGCAGCTGATAGCTTTGAAGTTTGTCAGGATGGCAACGAGCAGCCTCTCTTGCTACCTTCACTTCAGCAGCGCACGGAAAGCTGACCAGTGGCAACTCCGCCGTGACCGGCTGTAGCTCAGCTGCTGTCGAGTCATCTCACCTTTGGCGTGTAGCTCTTACTGCGGCTGGATGAGTTTCTGCCCAGAAGAACACAACTCCCTTCTGAAGATTCAATGACCCAGTATCCTTCTGCCTGTCCACACAATAATGATGGATGACAACTCAGCAACTGTCTAGGGTGTGCTGGGCCTGCAAATGACCCTTAAGATGAAGAAACACAAAGCTGTAATCTGCAATGAGAGGTACCCTTTTCATTTCAGCATCCTTAAGATGCAGCAAGATCCCCCAAAAGAGACTGGATTTCAAAATGGGGTTTCATTCTTCCTGTGGTGCTTTGAAGTTCCTCTCTAGTTCATAACACAGAGCACACAAGAGATAGGGATAAATCAGTAAAGTTCAAATTAATGACCTATCAATGAGAAATCCTGGATGTGCTGCTAGAGGGAGCACAGGTGTTGCTATTGTGCAGTGGGGGTGAAAAAGAAGGAAAAAAAAAAAAAAAAAAGAGAGAGAAAAAAGAAAAAGGTTGTTAGTGGCTATTTTTCCTCTAGGTAGGGATTCAAGGAATACAGGATGTGTTTCTTTTTGACCCAAAAATGGGATTACATTCCTTAAAGATTTTCCTTTTTTTCTAACTGTATTACTCATCCTACAAAAGATCGTGCCTTTGAGAATTGCTTAGGTCTCTCTCATTAATTCTTCACAGATATTTGGGTTGAAACCGGAGAGGGAAAGAAGTAATGTTGAAATTTTGAAGCAGAAAACTGTTCTTTCAGGTGAAAGGAAAAACTGGTTGGACCAAGAGAAAACGCTGTTTACCACAAAGTCCGGTCTGGGAGTCTTCTGCACCACCTCTGCTAAGAAAGCGCAGCGTTGGAAAACACTGTCTTGTTACGGAACAGAGCTACAAACAGGAGCTGAGCCATGGCCAGTGCTTCCACAGGGTAACAACCCCAACCTCATCTCCCAGCTTGCAAAGCTGAGAGGGTACCTACACACCATCCACCATGAGAGAAAAGTAAGGATGATTTCTTCCCGTATTTCTGCATTAATAAGAACCACTGCAAAGTTCCTAATTAAGTAACTGACATTTTGCTTCCTGTGATGTCGACTGCTCCTTGTTTATCATTCACTTTCAGGAGCGACCTGTTCACCAAGCCCAACCCAAAACGTGTATCAGGAAGTTAGTAACTCCTACTCTATTAATAAATACAAAAAGGGAAATTGTGCATATTTTCTACTTCTTAGGACAGATAAGACATGGGAAAGTGACCTCATTTTGAAGCTACAGTACAGACTACTACATATCTGATAAATGCTGGAGTTTAGGAGCTTATCTGAGGCGGCCATTTCTTGTAGAAAAATAAATAGACGCAGTGAAGTGTGTACATTTATGTTGTTGCTAAATTGATGTGCTAGTTTCTAAGGCTATTGGTGGAGATCCATTAATGTTTATTTTCTTGTCAGAAACCCACACACCATTAAGAAACAGCTGCTCATTTTGTTTTGGGGTAGATTTCTGGTTTGGGTTGTCTTTCAGTTCTGGGGTTTTTTATTGCAGAAGAGCGCAGATTTCTCCTGCTATCCATATCTCATCTGAAGCTGTCTCGCACTCTGAAAGCTGTAGTCCAAGGTCACATTTTTCATCAATGAAAGCAAAGCCTGTTTTGGAAATTATGATCTCCCCAGGTCACCTAGATCAAATTAAGGTAGCAATTATCAACAGCCCAACCAGAAAGCTAAAATCTGCCACCAATTGTTAAGCATTCTATTGAGTCACAGAGTAGCTATCAGTTTTCTCCCCCAAATGCCACAGGCTATAAAACTCTAAGCAGTTTTCTCAAAGGCTTCACCACAGTTATCTGTGTCTGTCATCTGCAGACTGAATTGCTATGATGTACCTTCTGCGGAGCTACAGACCATTTAGAGTGGCTATAAACACATTCTGAATTAAATGTCTGTCTAATGAGAAATCTATCTGGCGATGCATTCACCAGCACCGATCAGCTTGCTAGAAATGCATCTGCCTGCTTGTTCTCCAGCACTCAATTTGGGGTTTGTTTGTTTTCTTACCAGTTGTCTGAAATTGTTTCAAAATCCAATCCATTTCTGGGAACAATACAAGCTTAAATTTAAGAAATACAAGAGATTATTTCTGTTGTCTGGTCCCTGCTTTAAATACATTAATTTAACCAAGACACCACACAGAACACACAGGTGGCCTATTCTCAGATTTGTACGGGAAGAACTGGGACTGAAGTGGTATCAGTGGACTAATGAATTCATCCCACTGCTTACCCAAAATAATCTAAACAGGAGGTGCTCAGATAACAACAGAAGCCCATTTAAAAAACCCTTCTGTGTTATTTGTGTAGCAAACTTTTGTCAAGTAACTAACATAAAAAGAAAAACCTCCCATTTAAAGCAGCACACTTTCTCCCAGGATGCCCTTTGCAAGCGACACAAGCCACATCCCAAGGTCCCATTCTGATCTCCATTATATCCCTCCCCCTTCCCAATCATGTTACAGTACCTGTGGCAAATGCCAAACCATAACACCCAGGTGAAGATAAAGGAGTCAAACCGCTAACTGTGCACACATAAAGAGATGGAACTGAGGACCCATTTCCGTGACTCAACTTCATACATCCCCCATCTGCTTAAATTAGTGAAAGACTCCAAAGCAGGGGCCATTAACTTCTATGCCGTGCCTCAAACTAACAGTGCTTAACACTGAGGGTTGTAATCTTCACCAGAACCTCTATTGCTGCAGTTTTCCTAACAGCTCTAATAAAAACCCATTGGCAAGAAATACTTTCATGAGGGAATCTCTACTTGATGTTTTTTGAAGGTGCGAAGTGATGCCCTACACATGTTCATGGTCAGTGGTTCAGGCAAATTAACAAGAAACTTTAAAAAAAAAAAAAAGCTCTATCTTAATTGTCCATTAATGAAATTTTTAAGGAATCTGGTGCTAACTGAATTTATAGACATGACAGTGTAGATACCTGTTAGATCAATGTTTCAGCAGTTTTTTAAAATCTTACAAATAAAGTCTTCAATGGTGGAAAAAAAAGAGTGGCTATTAGCATATTTCTAACTGAGTGCATGTCTTTTTCTGATCTAATGATAGACATTCACAAAAGGTCCAGTTTGGAGTTTTCCTTATGAAGAGTGACAGCTGAGAATTCAGTTTTGAGGTTACAGTGGCACTTACAAGTAGAAATGCCAGAGCAGGTTAAGTTAAGGCAAAGTCAGATAAAGGATTTTACTAGAGGAAAAAAAAAAGTTTTAGGAGTTTGCAGTGCCTTGGGAAAATACAAATCAAATAACATTCCGCAGATCAAACAGATGTCCATGTCCACAAAAGTTAACTCAAACAAATGGCAAGTTACAAAAGTGTATTCATCACCAACGACTCAAATATAATGAAAAGCAAAATCCTCAACCCCTTCAAATGGCCTCCTCTTCCCAAAGCATTTTATTAACAGTTAAATTAAAGAGAGTCTCAACTTATATTACCCGAAACACTTGGTGATTTAGCAGCACTTTAAATAAAGATTTGTTTATTGCAAAGCCACGCAAAGGTTATATAAAAAAATCCTCTTCCTATCAGAGACCTCAACTATCTGTTTTTACAAAGGCTGCTGGACGCTTGCTTAATGAGATGTAATTTTTGACCTAAGATTTTTTACTGAGGCGGTATTGTTTCAGCTGCTGTCACCAAGTCAACTCTGCACTACTGCTATGCCATTTGTCCCTTTTAAAGTAAGTGACTATAATGCTGCTCCAAAGAATTATGTCCAACCTGAACACAGACAACCTTGGAAAGCCCTTTGCTTACACCTGACCAGAGAAAAGAGAGCACATGTGTGCAATTAATGCACTGAAGTAGGACTTCCAGAATTTTGGGAGACAGGTAAAACAGGCTGCCCAGAGTATTACTCATCATACACCCTGCCTTTGCCCTGAACAATCTAACTTTGTAGGCATTTCCCAATGCAAGTATTTTGAATACACAGGGCTTCTCTCCACTGAAAGGTGAAGTCCACTGAGGTGGGAGTCACAACATTTCCAACAAAAGCTGAATGAGCAGGCATTATAGAAGTGCATCAAATAATTCTGATCACAACAGTATGATAGGGCCACTTCACAGATGTAAAACATATAATGGGAGATGGTTCTTGCAGAATTCAAGACAAGAAATTCAAAAACGATACTCGAATGAAGAAGAAGAACGCTTGGAGGAGTGGGAGGACAGTGGGAAGAAAAGAAAAAACATTAACATCATCATCACAGAGTGAAAGAAAAACTATTAGAGAACCACATCCGTCATGGATAAACACTTCTGGATTATCCTTCGTATCTTTTTTAGCCCTACAGTGGTGCCCCAACAAGGTTTATCACCAAGAAAAGGAACAGTGTAGAGGCAACACATGGAGGTTGTTGTACCTTTAACATGCAGACATAGAATAAATATAAATATCCAAGTTTTACTTCAACTAAGTCCATGTCCAATTTGCCAGATAAACCCCTACTAAAAACAGCACATTTTTCACAACATCTTAAAGCAGCATACGAAATTTAAGTAGGGCGAAAGACCTCCATCTTTGGCATCGCATGGAAAGCACTCAGCTTTCAATAGTTAAGAAGTCATTTTGCTTGAGGCAACGATTTTGTGATTAGAATGTATTTAAAGGCATCTCAGCCGAAGCATCTCCCATTCATTGTGTGTTTGATGAACACTGAAGAAGGGCTGAATTTTACACACTGAAAGGTAGGAACTTTGTCACAAGTATAAATAAGAAACAGATTCTTCTATTGGACACATCAAATTTTAGGATTTGCACGTAGGTTATCGAAGTACGGTGTGTGTATTTTCCTTTATAACTCACGCATAACCTTTCTAGTGTTGCAAGCAATTAGTGATGGACAAATACGTTGTCAATAGGGTTATTTTATGAGAGCAACTCCATTATCCAGAAATTATTTTTCAGATGTGAAAGCAGGTAACTGCATGAATTTATTCCAATTTCCCCTCAGTCAAGAACAGACAGATGGCAAGGCCTAATTATACCTGGACTACTGCAGCACTTTAGACAATTAATCTAAAAGCCATTCCGAAAGCAAGAAGCAACCAAATTCAGCCAAAATATCCATTAGAAATAAAATAAAATAAGATAAAAAAATCTTCAGCAGCCAGCTATGATTCAGTAGTTGACTAATCAATCATTTTGTTGTAGTAGAAATCTGGTGCATCCAACTTTAAGTTATTTTTGTAAGTAGAGCTGAAGTTCTAAATCAGACAATTTTCCAGACATCATTACTAATCCAGATGTTGGAACAATGAATATAAACACAAGTAGTGATCATTACTTTTAAGTGATAGCTTTGTTAATAATTTAAGTAGCAAACACTATTAAATAAAATCATGTACTCAACACAGAAATGTGACTGCCTCTTTCACATCACTCTCTATATAAATTAATTCTCATTTCTTTCTCCAGTTACTTGGAAGAAGGTTCTACAAGAAGCCCTAAAACTATTAACAATAATCCCACAGCATGCAATGATATTACATAAATTCATAGAACTGACTTGCATAAAGTAACTGATTCCTGTGACTTTCAAATGTTAAAGACATCTTCTTTACTATATTGCAGAAATGCCTGGGCAAAGAAATCTCCTTTTTCTTTCAACGGACATATTCAGGCAAGCAAGCAAACTGCATACATCACCGGTGGGAATTCAATGTAACAAACAACAAAATGAGTTAATTAACACACAGAAGTATTATTTTTACTGGAGCAGCCGTAAGATTTTGAAAAAGGAACAGTCAGGTACATTGAAGAGGGAAAATGTTGATCAGGGGCCTGGAAGGCAGCGAATACAAATACAAATGCAAAATACAGCTATATTAAAGCTACCTTCAATAGAAATGTACCAATTTGACTTTTAGGCAACCTACGCACCTGATTAGGCAAACACAAGTCATTCACACAGCACGTGTCAACTGTGTAACAGAACGTACATCTGGCAGACACTAACCAATAGCAGAAAATGCTCTTCCAACCCCTTACGCATCTCCAAAGGCTGATCTGGTAAGAAGCTACAAGTGTAGGGCAGGACCTAGCAGCTCCTTGCCTTCAGCAATGACACGAAATGGAAACTAAAGCAGCAATAAAAGTGGAGCACACTGGCCAAACAGCACCTTAGGTACACGCTGCTTCCCCTACCTGCAGCTCTTTTACAACCCGCTTGATGAGGTAAGTCCCAAGCTCCACACCTTGCAGTCCCTGCTGAGTCAAACTGATTGAGTAGAAAATTGCTGTCGTAATTTTGTCTGTATCTTCTGCTTCTAAAGGCGGCACTTCTTTCACTATGGCCTGGGAAAATAAGAATTAAAAAAAAAAAAGTTAGTAGTAGTTATTATCGTCATTATGGGGCCTTTTTTATAACTTTCAAATTTGTTAAGAGTTTCTCCCGTTTTATTCATTACCCCTCTCTGAGAAACAACAAAAATCTAATCAAAAAATAGAAAGAAAAGCTGCTTATCCATTAGCCAGTGCAGGAAATAATTGTAACGTGGTTGAAAATTTTCAGAAGTAATCACATCCACTTTGAAGTTTTAATCTCATTTGCTATCTTTTCTTATATATTTCTTACCTCTTCTTATTCTTCTTGCTCTTAGGCAAAACCACAAAATTTCAACTTACATAATACAGGAAATATACAGAATATCCCCGTAATTTTTAAATGCCAATTCTCTTATCTCTTAAAAAAAAGGAAACAAACCCAAACATTCCCAAATTATAAGGAATTACAGATTTCAAAAGAAGTGCATTGCAATTTGAGCATTTTGCTGTGTACTAAATGCATCGGTGACTGTACCTGGATGCTGCTGGAGATATCACTGGTTAGTGCGACGTGTAAGACGATCAAAGGTTCTCCTGGGATTGCACAGTGAGAAAAAAAGTAGCATCTTCTATACGACCCAACTCGACGCTTCATATCAACCCAGTTTCTAACAGGATGCACAGCTTCAGAACTCAATGAGAAAATAAAAAAGAAAGAGTAAAATTACATTTTTTTAAATTTAAAAATAGAGGTCACCTGCCAACGCTACAAGCTCAGTGCTTTTCCCATTAATGTCAGTGACAAAACTTTCCAATCAAAAAAAGGAGAATGAGGCTGGAAGTGAAAGAAGTAAAATTCACCAGCAAACTGTGACAAAGACTGCAAAGGCATACTGCATACCCACTCTCTTTAGTCTTCTTTGGGATACGTTTATTACATATCTGAGATTTCACGTGCACTTTCTGTTTAGTGTAGGGTATCTGACTGAGATGATTAAGTCACTGCATGGGTCTGAACACACCTCCAAGGAATCGGGTTTCCCGAGGTACAAAGCAGTCTGTTAGCACTCCCACAGCCCTGTCTTCGACCAATCATTCGAAATACTCTTTCCTTTATTACATATTGAAAGTCTAGTGTGTTTGCCAAAATACCTTGAAGATTAAGTAAAATATTACTAATTATTTTTATTTGGAAAATTTAGCTCGCGTAAGATCTCTTTTCTTTGCCTCATCAACATTTAAGTCATCTACTTTCAAAACTCTTTAGATATTCCTTTTTCTTCAGGCTTTTTATATGCCAAAATGCCACACAACATAACTTTGATTCAGTCATCTTCAACTTCATCACTGCAACTTTGAATATTTGACAGAAATTCAGAAATAAATGTTGTAGATTTTAAACAATGTTTATAAAACCCAAGGTACTCTCTTCACACACAGTCTACAAGTGATTCTTTGCATCTCACCAGTTCCAGCCAGGAAGGGGAGTCTCACTACATTAGAAGTACAACATTCTCCGGAGAGTTGGGCACCCCATGCTGCATCAGACTTAAATATCAATTCTCCACCTACACTGCTGGTGTAGCCTGAGGGGAGAAGGGGGTGGCAGCGGTGATGGAGGCAGCAGCAGCAGCCACACCTGCAGGAGGCAGGGACGCAAGAAGGCAGTGCTGCAAGACTCTGGGTTTGTAGGAAAAGTAACTGAGAAGGCTGGGAGAAAAGACAGCGGTCTACAAGTGCAGAGTGTGAGCTAAAGGATCAAATTGTGGGACAAATGATCCCCTCTACCACTTATTTAATTCAGTTTTTAAAGTGTGCTCTTTAGGGTGTTAAATGCAACTATTCCTTACCTATACTTTGCCTATGGCTCAGTATTGAAAAGCAGTATCTTGAAAATAGTGGATCTGTGCAGTCACAAGCATTTCACCACCTCTTCAGCGACGAGCCTTAGCAACTTTTAGCACTTACTCACTAATTTTCTGGAGTACTTCACAAGGTGACTGCCAAGTGACCCGTTCCAAGTTTAGGAATCCTGTTGAGAACCACTCTGAAAGCATGTTCTTTAGAACTCCACTCATTTCCTGCAAACAGAAGAAAGATGAATTTATCTGCTAAATAAGCTAGGTAGAACATGAATGTGAGTGAGGATAACCTTGATTATTTCCAACTACAACACTAAGAAGTTCAAGGAAATTAATGCATTGGTTTGAGAAAATTAACCACATAAGAGTTCAGCCTTCCTCACACAGGGCTAAAACAATGAAAATGGTTAAAGACACCATCTATAGCAAAATGCAGACAGGGAAATGGAAGAGAATGCAAAACAACGTAGATGAGAAGCAGACAATAAATAGAAGTATTTGAGCAGTCTTGGCAATAAGGCTGCAGTTGCACAGGTGCTCAGATTTACATACTATAAAAAAAATCACGGGAAATTTGATGAAAACAAGGACTTGAATTTCACCGTAATGTTCTACATCTGAATCTCTCCTAAGCATTCAGCAGTCGATGCCTTAGGAAGACTATCAGTACTACCTCATTAATATAAGAAAGCAACTCGCCAATTTAAAATTGCACATTTTTAGCAAGCCTGAGTGACTGGGGGGGGCTTACCGGATACGTATGTTACACCTGCACTGCCTTACTACTCAAAAGAGCAGGTTATTTCTATAAGATGACACTACTGTGAAAAATGCGTAGTTACTGTTGGCTAAGGGCACCTCAACACTTGACACACTCTAACAACGCGTCACTCAACAGCATTTAGAGTAGCTGTAACCTATACTGGCAAAATCGTTTTTGTTGACGCTTCTGGGCTAGTGGATTAAGAAGAAAGCAGCACGTAAAACAAGCTGGACCAGAAAGAGCCCAGAACTGCATAACAGCATCTACAAAAAAGGGCTCTGTCTGGCATGGCTAAGTCACGCAGGAGGTGCAACTCCTGGGCAGAATAACTGAGCAGGTACCGGTCTGCAACGTCAACAAGGTTTGCATCAGCAAGTTTTATTGGGAAAAGCTCAATTTTAGCTCAAATACTTTCATACACAGATTTGTCTTCCTGCTTTTTTTATTTTTTTTTTCTCCAATAGATTTTTCATCTTGAACTGTAGTGGTGTAAGTGTCCTAAACAAGTATATTCTGATTGTTTTGTTTATTCTGGCTTTAAGGTACTTCGTGAATCCTTGTTTCTGCACAGCCCTGAAGCTTTTAGAAAATGACCACAAATCATTTTGGTCAAAACCCCTTGGTATAGTGAAAGTCTCCAGGTATTTCAGGATTGTTTGTTTTGTTTTCTTTTGTAAGGGCACACTGTAAACCAGAAAAATAAGCTAGAGTTGTCAGATCTGGGGTCAAACTGACAGATTCCTATGGCTCTCTTGTCATCCATCTGCTTTTGGAGCACCATTTCAAGCTGCAGTCTAGCAGCTAGGAGGGAAAACTGCTGATGGCTGCACTCCTGCTAGTCATTATTTTGAACACACTGCTCTGCATCTACTGGCAACAACACGGCTCAGATGGCAACGAGTGGCTTGGGAGAAAGCCAGTTATACTACACAGAAAGTAGGAAACACAGGAGTCGTGCATTTTACTTCTTTGAAGCACCTACAGGCTTAGCAAGCACGCTCATACGGGACGTAACGACGCCCAGTGGGACTGAAGGCTACTTTTCACAACGCAGATCGCACTGTAGGGCTACGTTAGGTCCACGGCACAGCTGTATAAAAGCATCGCAATTGCTTTCAGTAATGATTTTGGAAGAAAGGAACACTGTTTATGGGGAGTTACAACTCAATTCCAATAATTTGTCAGTCGTAAATAATAATGCTTTATTAAACACTGGGGCAGCAGACAGGCCAAAGAGAATAGTTCCACTTGGAAGGGGCCTACAGTGATCATCGAGTTCAACGGCAACGGCACATGTTGACAAAACTTCTCAGCACAAAAGGGCATAAAACACTTTATACTATCCAAAGCTGTGTTTAATTCAAGTCACTTGAGTAAAATTCTGAGTTGTGCTTAGTATCACAGCATATGCTAAGTTTCTGAAAGGCTTGACTCCAACAACGCGAGTCTCAAGTTAGGTTCCCTTATTTTGTAAATTTTGGGGTAAGTAATTTCTTATTTTCATTTCAGAAGCCTTTCTAGTCATAAAACCACATCTCCAACATTAAAAAGAAAATAAGCACACATTCATTATTCAACATCCCAATTTTAAATTTAAGCCACGAGACATGCTCAGATTAGTATTTAAAATTACCAGCTATACTTCAGTTTCTATTAGCTGAGTATAATAAATCGTGATTTTTTTTTTTCATTCCGTGTTCTTGCTACAAGAGAGCAGATTACAGGCTGTTTAATCTTCACATCAGGTCCCTATTTATTGGGCAACAATGGGAAAACTCTTACGAAAAACTATTTTTTTTTTAATTAAAAAAACCTGCCCCTCTGCTGAGAGAACTATTTTGATTTCCTTCTCAAACTACTGAAAAATAAAATACCCCTTACAATGAAAATTCATATGCAGATATTTACAGATAAACATAATATGAACCAGCAGTAACTAACGCTCCATGTGTACCAAACAGATGGCTCGGTTATTGTTAGTTGCTGGTCAGACATCTGACAGGGCTACAAGAGCAGTATTCTGCCAGCCTCGCAAGAGCTGAGTTTTCCCATGGCTTCGGAATGTCTGACGTTTTTAAGCCGATCTGCTTCCTCTGAGCACAGGGACTTACCAATCCACTCTGATACTGGCAAGTGTTTAAAGGTGTCTTTGTTTTTTTACAAAGTAGCTTCAAAATATACATACAGAATACCCCTGGCGAGATACTGAAAAATAAACCCATCAGCAAAACAGGATTCAACAGTGTGACACAAATAAAAGGGGACAGTTTTTCTGCTTTGTTATTGCTAATAGCAATTACTGCACTGGTAATGGTAGTGCTGAAAATTTCCCTGGCTCTTGTGTTTTATATTGTATGATGTCTTATTCCTAAAAAAAAAAAAAAAATTATTTCCTTCCCCCCCCATTTGGGCTCATTTAGACAATGAGTAAAGCGTGCACAACCATTTTCAAGTGACTTAATCACTTGTATATATTATTTTACTGTAATCTGTCGAACAAACACAAAATAGAAATGCTTCATCAACCAATATCTAACAGTCCAAGCTGCTTCTGCGATATGTTTTGAGGAAGTAGAAAAATATTTTATATTTACAACACAGCAGTGGGTAATCCTTGTTTTAATAGGTCTTTCAAAATGCAAAGTAAAAACTAAGGACTGTCTAAGAACTATTTTAGACAGTCTGGGCAAAACCAAAATCCCAGCAGGCCATATAATACACTCTGTAATTTTCCTCCAGCATGAAGATGATCCATTTAATTTTATTTCCACATTTCTTTGTCAGTGCAGATACAAATACATAGAAGTTATAAAATTCTTATTGCACATTTGTCTTTATGTATGTTAGAATTCAAATCAAACCTACAATAACCAAATGGCTATACAGGACTTTTGATAGACAAATGCCGAACACTTTTTTTTCATAGAAGAACTTTGAAGTTCCATTTGTTTCTCTAACTAAGGGCTTCTTAGACCTTTAAAGCAATAAATAAAAGTTTCAGTAGCCATATAGCCACTGTTTCACTGAGTGAAGAGATATTCTAATCCATTGATGAAGCCTCATCAATGAGACCACAGTTCTTTGAAGGCCGTACAACTGGCTGAAACAAATACATCCTTCTGGGGATGTGTGTAGGTAGGACATCTATCACCACAAACACTTCCCCTCCCCAAAAAGCCATGTACAGCCTATACACAAAATATTCTTCCTTAAAGCCTGTTCCACCATTTCCAATTCCTCTATTGAAATTTAAAACCATTTTCCCTGATTATACGAAGGTCAGTGTTCAAATCTGTGAGGAAGCTTCAACAACAACAAAAAAAATTCAATTCAAAGTCCAGCTTCAGACCCTCACTGTGTTTAGAGGCAGCTGCTATGAAGCGGAAAAATATCCAAAACAATTATGGTATTTCTTTTTTTCTAGCAGACCAATAGAAGAACAACAAGATTACAAATACACTCCAACTACTGCTTAATTATGGAAGTAGGTTTATTTATAAACCAATTTTACCAAAATGCTATCTTTTTCATTTTCTTCTGCTAGCAACTTGAACCTTCCACTGACTTTCTAAATCATACGGAAAGCTGAGGAATATTTTAGAAGCAATAGTTGAATGATTTGCTCCCTGAAATAATAATGTTGTGAATTTTTCCCCAGAGTCCATATTTCAGAAGCTGAAACTGAGTAAGCAAGCAAAATATAAAAAATCTCAAGAGGAACAGAAGTACTGCAGGTGAGAGGGTTCTGAACAGCAAGAGGAAGAACTACACTCAAGAAAGAGGTTTTCAGCAAATTTCACTCTGTGCCTTGCAAGAGCTCATCACAAAATCAACTTGTTTATAAAGGCAGTGGAAAATATGCATGTCCTTTGGTGGAAGGAAGGAACAGGACACATGAAAAGAACCTAAGAGAGAGAGGAAAGAATTCAAACAGCATCATGAAAAAATAATTAGACCCAGTTTCACTGTAATTTAACTTTTCAAACAACATACTACGGGCCAGTACTGGTTTTTTTGAAATGGTCATCTTAACATTATCCATGAGGCTTGTGACAATAATAATTGATTCATATAGTTCACAGAAAAGAAAATCCACCTCTGGGACAGATTATGAAGAAAAATTTCTCTTCACCATGTCCTGTACATATTCTTGGTGGACTCTGGAAAGAAAGGCTGTGTAGCTTCAAGAACACCGTTTACCACCACAATTTTTGCCATCTGATTATCAAGAACCTTGTGTCAAGAGTATTCATCATCTTTCACGCATCCACAGAAAGACATTTACTATGTCATAACTTGTCACTGAGGATACCTGTAATTTTTCTGTCTCGCTCTAGGTGATGACTCTGCCTTCTAATAACTAACTTAAATATAAACTAAACCTTACTCGCAGCATGTTCCATCCCTTTGCACAATCCATCACCCTGAGTATTTCCAATGCGTTGTTCAGGGTTTA